GATTTCCTGCCGACCATGAACAATTTCACCGAAGACCAACTTAAAACAAAACCTCTCTGTATGAAACATGAAATCACTCCAAAATATCTCTACATATAGAGAAAAGAGATGCTCTGTGAACCACAAAAGTGGAAAACAAGCCCTTCTCCTGCTTAACATGAATATTAGCTGCTCCTTTACAAAGTATAGCTTTGCCTCGCTCTACTCCACTCATCTCACAAAATTAAGATACCCAATCAGAGTTGCCCAGCTTCCTGACAGTTTCTTAAACTTCCCCTCAAATCACCCAACACCAAACCAAATCCCATGAAAAAGTTTGGTGGACTGTTGTGTGTAATTACCCTCCTGCAAAAGATAGGAAAAAGAAAACTCAAATCTGAAAATAAAATAAAATAATTGACTTTGACTGTGTTTTCCTGATAGCCTTGGAGGGTGAAGACAGTCCCACATATTGCCTCTGTGATGCATGCAGCATCCTGTGGAAAAGGGAATGGGCTCAAAATCTTATTTTATACAGGTCAAGACCAACATTGAGCCAGTACGTGGTTTGTCTAAACTCACAATCATGAGTCAAAACCAATACTTCTGATTCTAAACCCACCCTTTGCCTCCCAGATGGGAGTGTGCAAGAACACTGCTTCCAAGCTAAGAAAACTATGGTCCGTCATCCTGCAGAGGAGGAAGGCCTGTCTGAAGCAGACTGCCTTGGGGAGCTGTGCCATGCACTCTTGGAGTGGACCCCACAAGTGTGCAACAATGCACAGCCAAGGCAGTGGTGCCCTCTTTCACACAACAGAGAACTGAGACCATAAAGGCATTAGAATCTGGCCAAATTAGACAAAGAGGAAATGGCAGAGCTGAGATTCCACCCAGGCTAACAAAGGAGATGGGAGGGCGACACCTTCCTACAGGTCAGAGAGGCAGTCATCTCTGCCAGCCTCTTGGGGTGAGGGAGATTCCAGAGGAGCTCTCAGAAGGGAGGCAGTGTTGGGAAGTCCCTGAAATCCTGAAGAAAGTGGGCTTTTATGTGGGGTAAAGAGCAGAGTGTGTAATCAGAGGCTGATGCATGTAGAGAGAGGCATCTCATGGTGCAGAAGCTCTAGCTGGAGATTGGAGAGCAGGAAGGTGCTCATAAATGGGTGGTGCTCAAATCTGTGGGTCAAATGTCAGACTGACTTCCTGCACAGTGCCCTCCCAACCCAGCCCAATCCCGGGAAATGTCATGTTTGGGCAATGCAGTTTCTTGGCCTTCGAACTTAGTACACAGTGAAGGCAAACACTGTGGTTCAAGTGAGTATTTCCAGGGTGACCTAATGTCAATTACCTCATTTACCTCCTGCACTGGAGCAGATGGTAGCAGCTCTGGATAGTAAAGAGTAGTGATGAGAGATAAACAAGATGCCTGCTGAACCTCTAGGCCCCAAACTAATAGCCATCATCTGTTTTGGCCATGTTACTCTCTACCACCCTGAGCATGTCTGCAGGCACAGGGTCAGCAGGAAGTAAGGAAACCAGGCCCTTCACAAACCAAAGAATGGTCCAGTGGAAGGGACCCTGAAAGGGAATCTGGCTCACACACTTGTGGTATTTGGGGGCCCCTATGAGGCCCCCCATATGGGCCTGAGGCCTTGTGTGATGCTCATATCATGGGGTCCCTCAATGTCCCAAGCTAACGTGACATTTTCATGACAGCTGCTATTGTTTTAATCTAGAATATCCCCAAAGGTCCATGTATTAAAGGCTCGGTGCCCAGGCCACAGCACTTTAGGAAAGTTGTGGAAACTTTAAGAGGTGGGGCCCAATGGGAGATTTTGGGTCACTGAATGCTTGCCCCTAAATGGGATTGTGCAGTACTGAGTTCTTTCTCTCTCTCATTCCTGGCCATGGGGTCAACATACTTTCTCTACCATAATTTTCCACCATGATGCTTTGCCTCACTACAAGTAGAGAAGCAAGCACAAAAGCAACTGGACCAAGCAGCCATAGACTTCAAAACTGTGAACCACAATAAACCTTTTCTTTTTTCATATGTTGATTTTTTTCAGGGATTATGTTATAGTGATAGGAAACTGACTAATCCAGAAGAAGAGCTAGAAGAAATTTAGTTCAGAATTGAGTGAATTATGCTTCATAGTGTATATTGTTCCATCCCTTCTACACTATCCCAGTTGATTACTGGAATATGCTCATTTATCCACAAGATACCCATCCTCTTCCCAGACTTGCTCATCTTTTTTCCCGCCCATGTCCCACAAAAGTGGTGGAAATAGAGTTCCTCTGCCTGGAGTGAGCTGGCTACGAAATAAAGCTAAGGAAAATAAAGGTGGTGAAAAAAACACCACAAGACACAACACCGAAAGTAATTTTGAAAGGCGAGGGCAGGACGGCTCTACAACCTTAGGGGTTGAGCTTCAACACTGTAAAAAGAGAAAGTGAGAACCCATGTTTGGTTTATTCATATGGGGGGAACATCAAAGATTTTTCAATAGAATGTTCTTTTGCCAAATAAGGTAGGAGGTGAGCTGTCCAGGCCCAAGGGTTTACACCCAATTCCAGAGCTAGGAGAGCAGATTTCCTAGCCCAGCAAAGACTGAGGTCACAGCATTGTGTAATCCATTAAGTGGGAGGAGCCATAAAATGACTTGCAATGCCAAACCAAAATCTCCTTTGCTCAAGTCCCATGAAGATGCTAAATAGCTCAGGAGTGGCTTCCCACAACTTTGTCTTGTTTTTTAATTTTAATTGTATGGTACTTATGTATTTAAATTGGAAACTTGTGTGCACTTGAAAACATCTTCTTGTTCATCACTTCATATTCAATCAATTCTCAATGTAGGTCAGCTTTTCACCATTAGGACTCTCTTCTAATCTTTCTCTACACTGTAGTCAGAACAAACCTTATAAAATTCAAATGTTATCATCTCTTTCCTTCTGAAATGCCTCCAAAGACCTGTGGGAAAATCCCCAAAGTTTTTCACACAGTTGACAAGTCCTATTATCAATCAGTGCAAGCCTCCTCTCCTATCACAGGGACCTCACACTGTGAACTGGGCAGACTGAATAGTGTTACCATTGGGAAGCCAGCCCACTCTTTTTTACCTTCAAACCATTGCACAGGCTATTCACGTTGTGAAACTTGGACAAAGTTCTAAGGGAAGCTTGAATGGTCTTTGCAACACTCACAGATTTCTAAAAACTCCTTTTGAAAAACTTTTTTCTTTTGAAATCATTTTAGTCTAACTTAGCAGTTGAAAGAATCATAAAGAAAATTACCATGTGCCTTTCAATCATCATTGTTCACTAATGAATGACAGGATCTAACATACCATAGTACAAGTATTCAAACCAGGAAATTGATTAATACAACATTAAGATACAGATGCTGTTTGGATTTAGCGATTATTTATCTAGATACTTTTCTTTTTCTTCAGGTTCAGCTCTCTGAAGATTCTTTTTTGTAAACATAAGCTTTTGTAACTACCAAGATACAGAATAGTTTCATCACCCCCAATAAAACTTCCCACTAGAAATCTTTATAGTTATTCTATGCTTCTATTCCTATCAAGAACTTATTTGTTCTCTTTGAGTATAGATATGTCTTTCAAGAATGTTTTATATGAAAAATCATATACCTTGTAAACATTTGAAATTAAATTTGTTTTGCTCAACATAATATTCTTGAGATTAATCCTAGTTATTACATGAGTCACTAGTCTGTTCCTTTTTCCCCTGTGCTTTCAATCATATGATGTACCACAGTTTATCCATTTACATGTTGAAAATAATTTAGTTATTTTGAGTATTTTTAGTCATTGAAACTGAACTTTCCAAAATGTGAAATAAACCTATGGTGAAATGCTATTGGGCTTCAAAAATGAATGAAATTACAATACATGCTGCAACACGGATGAAACAAAGATATTCTGCTAAAGAAATAAGTCAGGAACCAAATGAAATTCGTTGCATGGTTTCAAGTATATGAGATGCCTAGAAAATTTAAATTCATGTAGACAGAGTGTGGAAGTGGTTACCAGCAGTTGGATGGGGTTGGAAATGGACAGTTACTATTCAAATGGGAAAAGAGTTTCAGTTCGTGATGATGAGATTTTTCTGAAGATAGAAAATAGTTATGGTTGCTCAACAGTCTGCATGTTCTTGCTGCCACTGAGTTGTATATTTAATAATGGACAAAATGTTAAAGTCTGACATAAAAACAGAAAAATAAATTACTATTATATGACACAGTATAAGTGTGAATGAAATGTAAGTGTATCTAAGTGTAAATATGAAAGAAAACAATACAAGCTAAGAGGACAGAGAGGCTGGGTAGGACTAGTTTATGTAAGATTAGACAGGAATCTCTGAGATGGGTGTATTTTAAGAGAATGGAAAGAGCCAGCCTGCCATGCACAGAAGGGAGGGCATTTATAGGCAGGGAGATGTCAAATGTGGAGCCTGAGGCAGGAACCATTGTCCAGTGGCAGCAAGAGGTCTGCCATGCCTTCACAGATAATATATGTGCATATGTACACACTTGTGTTTACAGCTGGTGTGCAAGAGAATGAGTGTACATTCATGGGTATCTGTATTTTTCTCTATTGGAGACAAGGACCTTGACATGGCTAATCTGTCAACTGTGCTCATGGTAACTCTTCAGTGAGAACTGGCAAAAGAGTTGACAAAGGAATGATGGTGCTATATTAAAGCAGACAGCCACCTAGTGGTGTGCTGGAGGCCCCAGGGAATGCTCTTTAGGTGAGTCTAATGTCTCCTAGAAAGAGTTGTTTATTAATCTGAGGTTAAAGGCCAGGTCCAGGCTATCCCTTTTCACAAGGTTTGTTGCTAAGCCCAGCCTCCTTCCTTGCTCTGAGGCATCTACCAGTCCCAGGCTGGAGGGCCAGCTTCTTTGTTGCTGAAATCCTGCTGTGCAGAAGCCTCATAGTAAGTCCTTTATATTGATATGCATTCCTTGATCAAGATTCTAGGGGTTCAACTTGACTCTAGAGACCTGGGGGAGCCTTTCAACAGGTAATGGGCAGAGGCACAAGCAGACAGAAATCATATTGGGGAAAACCACACCATCAAGTTTCCTTAATTATCTATTGCAAAGGAGACTGCCTCTGTTTTCAAAGAGAGCCATGGAGCATTACTTCCATGGGATTGGGTTGCTAAGCTTTCCCAGCAAGGAGAAACTGGAAGAAAGCTTTGGAAGACAGAGATTTTGAAAAAGGAGAGAGAGGCAGTTTGTCTAATTGCCAAAGGTTCTGACTCAGAAAATACAGGGGAAACATGACGGGAAGTAGAGAGGGATCTAACACTGAGCTTGGGCAAAGATATTGAGAAGTTTCTAGTGGGATATTTTGTTGTGGGAGATAAAACACCAATCAAAAGCATAATCAAAAGTTATTTCTGGGGTAGGTTAGTGACTAGCAGATGAGTTGATCTGAGACTGTGACCTAACACTTCCTCTCTGTATTACTGTCTGCAACTTAGTGCCTGGAACTGAATAAATGAGAGTTGAGTGGCTCTGGAGGGAAATCATCTGCACAGATATGAAACTGGGGTTTGGGTTGCAGATGGCACAAAGAGAGGTGGGGGGAGAGAGAGAGCTTCTGCAGATACCTGGTTCTCCTGCCTTCCCACCTCTTAAGCCAACAGATATGAGTGAGTGGAAATAGGTAGTGGTTTTGCTCTCACAGCCACAGGAAGCATATTCCCTGTCTTCTAGCAGCAACACCAGAGGCCTGGGCTCTGGTGGTGCCCTCTAAGGCCCCTGCTGCATGTCACTGTGCTGACTTTTGTTAAAATACTAATCAACAATGTTACAAGGAAGGTTTCCTTTTCTAAATACTCAATCTAGAGGCCAGGAAAGGGTCACCCACTAATTCTTTGCCTGTGCCCAAGTTTCAGGACAAAGGGCATGTGTGGCAACTATGGGCTGCTTAACTAAACAAGATAATCTTTCTTGACTTATCTCTTAGTAAGCTGAGGACCATGTTCCTGTTTCTACCATTCCTTCTCCTTCTTCTGAGTCTGGTGACATTATATACTGTAACCAATAGGGAGGTTCAAAAGACCTGCCCAGTGATGGCCTGTATTCCTCCAGGCATGAATGGTTTCCCAGGCAAAGATGGACTTGATGGAGCCAAGGGAGAAAAGGGAGAACCAGGTACCCATTGGTTCTTCCAGCTGTGTGATTGTTTATCTTCCAGATATAACTGGCTGGGGAAACAGGAGGAATGTCCTATCTAGGCAGGTTAAGGTTTTCTCTGCTATATAATATAACTCAAATCAGAGATGCATCTCCTGTCCTCTGCCATTTCAGACCTCCACCCATCATTTTGTGACATATGTTGTCTTGCCTGTCCAGAAAAGCATCTTTCAGGGTAGACTCCCCCTTGGAACACAGGAGGATTATTTCTTCTCTGAGTCATTGGAATCAGGGGTTCAGAGGTTGGCCCTGAGTCAATGTCTTCTTTCTCTGGGAAGGGATTCCACATCAAGTTCTTGGGAAAAGAAAGGAAAAGCACAGATAATGAGTCATGTTTTCTTTATCTTCCAACAGGTCAAGGGCTCAGAGGCTTCCAAGGCCCACCTGGAAATTTAGGACCTGCAGGCCCCCCAGGTCCCCCTGGATCAAAAGGGGCAGTGGGTAAAAAGGGAGACCCTGGAACATGTCCAGGTAAGATCCATCTAGAGAAGATTGAATTAAAGGTGCTCAGAGTTCTGGAACCCAAAATATCAGGTGGGAGGTGTCCTTTTACTGACACTTTAAGGGAAGAGGCCTGACTCTGCTTCTTGTCCCAAGGCCCCCTCAGCCCACTCTAGGTTACTTGGAGCCTCGAGGCATTGCCACCAATGCCTAAGTACAGATTTACTAATCTCTCAGGGCTGCTTCCTCACCAAGCATACCCTGGGCCCAGAGAGAGAAAGTAGGACAACTGAGTGTGGACTTAATATGTCTTTTTTCCCATGAAAGTACATCCATGTAATGGCAGTTATCTCTTCACCAAACCAAATCAATCAAACCAAACCTTAGTGGGTTCAAAACACAACCAGTTATTTAAATACAATTTTGTGGGTCAGCCACAGACATTCTGGTTTTAGCTGATCTCAGTCTGTGGTCAACTGATGGATGGTCCATGGTTTCATTCATATGTGGGTATCAGCTGGATTGAGGAGATTAATTGAGCCACGGACCTCTTATCTGACAGGCCAGCCAGGGCTTGTTCAAATAGCAGAAGTTTTAAGATTCCAAGTTGTAAAAAGAATAGAATCTTCAAGGCTTCCTGATGCTCACAACACATACATTACCATTTCTGCCACACTGTATTGGTCCTAATAAGTCACAAATCTGACCTAGTTTCAAAGAGTGTCAAAATAGCCTCTATTTTTTTTTTTATGATAGAAGCTGCTATTTTTGCCATCAATGAAATACAAATTGCCTCAGAATCTCCTTACTCAAATAATAAAAATTCCTTCAAAGGTTTCTTTTTGCCTTTGAGGTTTGTTTTAGCAATTTATTGGGGGAAAAATGTAGTGAAGAGCTTTGGCTGCAGATTTCTGTCATGTGAGGTAACCAGGGAGTGCATGTGTGCATGGGTGTTTAAAGGTGTCTTTAGAACAGTCATCAGATGAAGACTGATGTTTTGGACTGTGTGGAAATGGAGGTATTTTTCTTCTTTTTGCTTCTTAGTATTTTTCATCTTCCTTCAATGTTTATACATCAATGTAAAAGAAACTATTTTTTAAAAAGTACCCACCCCCTTATGTGTACATTCTGGGACTCCTTCTCAACAATACCCCTTTGTTCTGTTTTAATTTTCTAGCATGTGACACTAGCAGAGCTGCTTCTGAAAGAGCAGCTTTCAAAGCAGAATTGGAAAGCATCAAAAAGTGTAAGTTTTCTCTCTTGTTCTTTAAGCACCTTAAAGTGAGGGAATGTGAAAGTCAGTGAATATTTATTTAATATATATATAATTTTCTAGTACCTGGGTAGACATTTCTTTTATTCTGGTATCATAAAGTCCTCACAAGCCCCCTCAAGTAGACATGAAGGCAAAAGGAATTTAAATTTCTTGCTCAAATGCACAATAGAGCTTATAAGTGGTAAAAATTGGTTTATCAACTGAAATCAGTTGGACTTAGGAGACTCTAATCCTGGACTCTGATCTTCTCTCACTGGAAATGGTATCTATGCCCCTTTGTTATGCTGGTTTCTAGACCTGGCAATGGGACCAAACTTGTTCTTTCTGACTGGGGCCAAATAGGCTGAGACGTTTCTGTTTAGTCTCCAGTTAATGGTGTCATAGGATTCAGAATTCCAAGTTATTTGTGTTCTAGACTTCTGATCCAGTGTTCCAGGGTGTCCCTTCCTTTTAAGGTTGTGAGCCTTAACAAAAACAGAATATACTAGTTTAATTTGAATTTAAGTTTATTTTATCTGACAAGTCTACTGTAGAAAACTTAACTCCTAAACATACAGTGGACAGGAGTTTAAAACAAGCCAGTTTTATCTACTTTTTCCCATTTTAGTGCTATGGTTTTCTGTCACCAAAAAAGTTGGAAAGAAGTTCTTCTGGAACAGTGGCGAAACAAGAAATTTTGACAGTGCTAAGGCTCTGTGTGCCCAATTCCAGGCCTCCATGGCCACCACCCAACGCTGAAGAGAATCAGGCCATCCAGAGTTTGGTCAAAGACTCCGCCTTCCTAGGCATAACAGATAAGGAGAATGAAGGCCAGTTTGTGGATATGGCAGGAAGGAGAGTGACCTACCGAAACTGGAACAAGGGTGAGCCCAACAACACTGACTCTGGGGAACACTGTGTGCTGATGCTCTTGGATGGCACCTGGAATGACGCCACCTGCTCCTCCTCCTTTATGGCAGTCTGCAAGTTCCCTGCCTGAGGCCACGTGCCCCTCAGCTCCCCCTGTGACTTTACTGCACCCTGAAGACCGACAGTCTGCTCTGAAGGTGAAGACATCAATTTTCCACACGTAGTCATGAGTTGCTCCTTTTTTGGAGCATTGCAGAAAATGAGGAGAAGGGATTGAATGATGGGATGGGGAGGAGAGAAATGAGAAGAGGCTGATAATGGAGCAACATATATTTCTGTTTCAGTCCAAAACACTAATAATGAACACTAACAACAACATAACAGTGATAGTTTTAGGAGTTGCGTGGTAAAATTAATAATACATTTTAAACGTTCACTTTGAGCAAGATGCTACATTTTTCTATCTTTCAATTATTATCTCATGTAATTAAGCTATGGCATTTTTGTAAGTCCTTGTTCAGGTACAAAAATAAACTGAGTTCACTTATCCACTTACTACAAATGCATTGTGTGCTCTGTTGTGCTCTCTTTTCTCTCTGGGTGGAGGGTTTCCAGGGTTACAAATCTCCATAGTATCCTCTTCCATGGCTTCTCAGCCAGTCACAAATATCAAAATGACCTATATGTATCTCTATTTCTGAATTCTAGTTCCCTTTAAATTAGATACTGTCTAGGTAAAGAACATAAATTTCAAGTGAGCAGATTCATGAGTGCATACACATACATCTATGTAGCCATCTTCTAGGTTAAGCTATGGGACAATTTTCGTAACCTAGAAGCCCCTTTACATCTCCTCCTAGTTGATATTTCCAAAGGTAAATACTATCCTAACCCCTACCATCATATATTGTTTTTTATTTGTTATGATATAGAGGCAACCATCCTGTATGTTCTGTTTTATATCTTGCTCTTTATTCACTCTAAAGCCTAGCTGTGGGACTTTTCCACCATTACAGGTAGCAAAAGTTTGCTTTCATTTCTATGCAGAATTGCATTATATTTATGTACCTCAGTTTTCCTCTTTTATTATTAATGGACACTTGGCTTATAAATTTGGGCCATTAAGAAAACACCCTCATGAGCATTTCTGTGTGTTTTATTATGCATGGCTTACTAATTTCTCTTGGCTCTCTACTCAGGGCAAAGTCAGCAGGTCACAGGGCAAGTACGCATACAGCTTCAGTAATACTATAGTTTTCCAAAGTGTCCATACAAACTTATGCTCCCATCATCAAACTGTGTGGATCCTAGGTACTGCACATACTTGTGAAGAGGTGACACTTTCAGTCCTTGTAATTTCAGCCATTCTTGTGAATACAAAGTTTTACTTCCCTCTGGCTTGAATCTCTTTTCCCAGTAAAACAATTTTCATATGCTAATCAGATGTCTGGACATCTTCTCTTGTGAGATACCTATTAGAGTCATTTGTGTGTTTCTTTAGACAATATTTTTTAAATTCATAAAAATATTGTTTACTTTTACATTCAAAATATATTTTTTATGTATACCACAAATATTTTTCCAGTATTTTACTTACTTCCATTGTTGACTTTTGATGAAAATAATTTCTTAAATTTAAGGAAATCTCATTTAGTCATATTTTCTTTCAAAGTTGTGCTTTTTGTGCTTAATTTAAGAAATCATTGCTTGTTCTCAAATCATGAAGCTATTCTTCTATATGTTGTTTTTTGAAAGCTATATTGCTAAACCTTCCACATGTCTTTAGTATGTACCTACTTGATACAGTGCTAATTTGCTTGAAAACCATGTTCCCTCCCTTAATTGGAGTAGTTCATTTTTGCACATCAGCTGACTATGTGTGGGTCTGTTTCTGAACTTTCTATTCTATTATCTTATTCTATTCTTCCAGTCTGTGTGTTGATTCTTTTGCCAAACACTACATTATCTTAATCAATGTGCAAATGTAGTAGGAACTGACATGTGGCTGTGGAAGCCTCCCAGCATTTTTCTTCTGTTAGCTAAAAAAATTTAAGATAATTTTTGAGTAGCACCTCAACTTCTACAAAAACCTGATGATGTTTTCATTAGGACCTCATTCATTAATCCTACCAATTTACTTGGGCAGATTTGACAATTTACTGCTGAATTTTCAATGATCATAGTGTATTTCTTTATTTAACTAGGATTTCCTACAATTTTCTTGGTATGTTTTAATTATTTTAGCTTAGTGATTTCACATATTTTGTTTTGGTGGATGAGAGGTTTTTAAAAATAATGTATTCTTCACAATTATTTTCTACTGTTGCACATAGAAATATAAGTAAGTTTGTATATGATCCTATTATATTTAGTAATCTTATTTTTTAAATTCTAGTAGTTTATAGATTCTTCTAGTTTTTCTACCTAGATACCATGTAATCTAAAATCATGGGAGTTACTTCATTCTTTCTTTTCTTTCCTTCTTCCCTTCCTTTTTCTTTTTTTCCCTTTTTCTTGCCTCATTGCACTGGTTAACAATTCCAGTACAGTGATGAATGGAAACAGTGAGGGTGACCATTCTTTCCCAGTTCCTTCGTCTGCCTTTGTTTATTTTAGTGACTAAGATTTAGGTTTTTATCTTTTTAAAAAATTCAAGTTCATATTTACCTAAACTTACTTCTCCTCCCAGCAATTTTCCTATACTTCAGGGGCTTGTAAAGTCCCAATGTCCATTACTCTGTCCTGCTCCTGCTTCCTTGAATGTAGCCTTCAGGTTTTGGGCTACAGAAGGGCTGATGGTTCTTAGGACTAGCTGTCCTGATATTTTTTACCATGCTGGCCGGGCTTGCTATCAGTAGGTCCCCTGTAATGTGGTAGAACATCACAACTAGATGCTTAAATCAGCTCCCTTCCAATTCTTCTTTGCATGCCTGTCTCCTAGGTGAATGTCCAAGACCAAAGACCTGCTCTGCAAATTCCTCAGTAACATTTGGCCAGGCCTCAAATAATGCCATATGTCAGAGCCTAATATTTGCCAACCTTGAGAAAATCATAACATCCCTGAAAATGTTCCTGGAAATATGTTAATTAGTCTTAAAATCTTGGCAGCATAGAGTCTCCTGGGTAAAAGATTTGAAATACAACAGATAATATTAGGAGGAATTTGACCTAGTAGGCTTGCTTAAAAAAACAAACTAACAAACAACAACAACAACAAAAAAAACACCTCACATCACTTCCTTAATTAGAAGGCAAATAATGAGCCATGAGTGGTGGCACATGCTTATAATGCCAGCAGAGACAGGAGCATCACAAGTTCAAGGAGAGCCTCAGCAACTTAGCAAAGTCCTGAGAAACTCAGAAAGACCCTGGCTCAAAATAAAATATACAAACGGCTGGAGATGTGCCTCAGTGATTATGTGTGCCTGGGTGAAATCCCATGTACACACACACACACACACACACACAGTCAAATAATCAGTACAATAAACACTGTATATTCTGAGTCCCAGGTCCAAAAGCGAAAAGTCACTGGGACATTCCTGCTATTCTTTTGCTTTCAGAGACCACAGTACCAGGCAGAAACAATCACAAGACCATATAACAGAATGTTTCAAAGTATGGATAAACAGGCTTATCTGACTACTTTCTTCTCTCCCAGTTCCTGGCCAGGGGTATGTGACCAGGCCTCCATTTCTAGCTTTTTCCTGGAGAATCATATTCTTCACACTGAACCCAACTCAGCATGACTCATAGATGTCATGTTTTTACAGATAATCCAACAGAGTATCGCTCAGAGATGTCAAAGACAGAAAATAGGTACCACTTAGGACAGGGATCCACTCACACTGCAAAACAACATGATACAAAGATTTTTAGGCATTACCTTGAGCAACCTGACACATACAAAAAAAACATGCAAAGGAACACACAAAATAAACGCACATTATCAAACATTCACTAAATCTCACAAATACCTATAAGTACAGAGAGACTTGATCAAAATCCTGACGTCAGCTCTTCTGATCTCCAGTACTGACCTGATGGGAATTCACAGCCATGGTGGGAAATTGGGCCTTTGTCAGCAACAGAAGTATCCATATGGCTTACCACTTATCACCACCCTTGTGAACCTTGAGGAGAATGCAGGCATCATAAGTTTCATGAAGAAAGTTAACACTTTTACCTGGGCCAACAAAAGACCCCCTACCTGGGAAGTTTCTCCACTGGTTGCAGTCCTATCACTGAGCTATTTCATACACAGAAGTACCTGATGGACAAAGCACAGTGTGTAGAGATGAACACGGGGGACAACAGAGTGGCATAAACTGTACATGCATTACCACATGGCTCATCAGGAGGTTCAGAAAGATTGTTCCTGAATAGGGACTGCTCTCTCAGGCCACCCCTCTCAGTAGCTGAATACTAGTGGTACTTTGGGGCCCACTCAGTTTAAACAATTTCATGTGACCAGTACTATAGTGTGTGGAATGACGGCCCCTGAAGATATATTCATGTCTAATCTCTTGAACTTGTTAGTAGTAAATTACATGGCAAAATAGTGGACATTATCTGTGACATGAGTAAGTGAAGGATCTTGAGAGAAGAACTTATATGGTTGAGCTTTGTCATTTTCATTTTGGTTTGCTATCACAAAATATCATAGATAATATGTAACAAAGTATGACAGATTGCATGACTTATAACAGCATAAATTTATTTTCCACAGTTGTAGAGGCTGACAGTCCAAGATAAGGTGACATGATCAGGTTCTGTTGACACCCTCTTTTAGTTTGCTGACAGCCAACTTTCCCTTCTATTCTTAGAATATGAGAAGACAGTAAAAGAGCTTTTATGTGCCTTTAATAAGGGCATAAATTCCACACAGGAGGGCCTCACTCTCATCATCTAATTATATCCCAAATGCCCCAACCTCTAATACTATCATATTGGGGGTTAAGATTTCAACATATGAAATTTGTTGGGGGACCCAGGCTTCCAGTCCATTGCAGACTCTAAGTGCAATCACCTGCATCCCCATGTGAGATAAGCCAAGAAAGGTTTGGGGACACCAGAAGCCAAAAGAGGCAAGGAACAGATTTTCCTTCCTCAAAGCACCAGAAGGGAATGCAGCCCTACTAAAACCTTGATTTGAGATTTAACTCCAGAAATACAAAAAGTTTGAATCCACAGATCTTGTGGTAATTTATTATAGCTTCCCTAAGAAACGAATCCAAGTACACATGGAGGGTTTTCCCTCAGGACTGGATGGAGAAACTACAGACTCCTGAAGGACACATGAGCATATCCTTTGGACAATCAGTCCCCTCTCAAAGCTGTCTGTGGGTTCTAAGGTAACCACCCGTCAGTCACTCTTCTTTCAGGACCCATGAGGTCGCCCTCTCAGGCAGAGATGAAGGGCGTCCTCAGCTCAGGAAGGTGCTGGACAAGCTGATTCACATCTGTGTCCTTCCCTCTCTTGAACCCACTCCTGTCTGTTCTAGTATGTGGATTCCTTGATAGTGTTCCCTTAAACTCTGCACCTGCTTATGCTCATGCTCA